GGAGCAGACCTCTCCTGTCTCCCCTGCTGCTCTCCTCAGCAGTGTATTTCAGTCAGTCTGCCTGTTCTGCTCCCCACTCTGTCTTGGGTGAATCCTCACACAACCACCACCACCACCCGCATCTCTGGCCTGTACCCCAGTTCTTGTATGCATAAATAAATAAATCTTTTTAAAAAATTTTAAAATGCAAGGGATTAAGTCCCTGGTGGCGCAAGGGGTTAAGTCTCAGCACTATAAAACTATGCAGCCACTGCAGCAAGTGTTCAATCCCCCAAGAGTTCAATCCCTAGCCAGGGGGCTGACCCACCTGGCCCAGCAGACCTCTCCCGTCTCGCTGGCTGCTCCCCTCAGCAGTGTATTTCAGTAGATCCACCTGTTTTGCTCCCTACTCTGTCTCTGGTGAATCTTCTCACCCCGGCACCTCTGGCCTGCACCCCAGCTTTTGTATGCATAAATAAATGAAGTAAATCTTTTTTAAAAATGCAGAGGAAACACTAAATTGAAGGTGGAGAGAGGAGCCTGTGCCTCCCTCTTCTTTCCTTACGGTGCAGCTCTGCATCTAGCGGCCGGTGGTTATCAAGCATCTCACAAGACATGTCTCCCTTGAATGACTGAAGAAAAGTGAGAAAGACACCTGCCTACAACCGGGAGACCCCGGCTTTCTGATTCTAGTCCTGGCTCCATCATTTTCAAGCAAAGAATGGTTTGTGAACCCTGCTGAGAGGAAACTAATACCAGTTTCAAGCTCTCTTACAATGTACTTTGTGCCATCATAATTTGTATGAAAGAATTTTGTAAACTATACAAAAAAGTTAAGACTATATTAACTTGTGGGGCCTATTATAAATGGGAAACTGATTCTGTTACAGAGCAGCCCCAGTATAAAACGGGTTGTGTCCTCACTCGCGCACTTAAAAGGGACTTGTAAATACTCCACTGCAGGCCCACACAAAAGGTTAATAAAAGGTTTATTTACAAGGGAACGGGAAATGAGGAAATGTACAACTCAGGGAAAAAATAGGGAAATAAAATCTTAAATGGGTCCTACCCGATTAGCCGACCTGGAAACCCAATGGCACTCTGAAAACTGGCCAAGAGCCACGAGCTGGCAGAGAGCCAAAAGGGGATCCCCCCAAGGCCCACGTGTCTGGTTTTATACCAAACCTAGCTGCTTAACTCCACCCTCAGGTCCCAGCCACCTTCCCTTTGGTGGTGACGGGATTTGTCTTTCCCAATGTCCTGATGACTTTGGTCTGGAGTGGAGGTGGAGTCCACAAAGCCTGTATGGAATTAGCTCAGGACATCCTTTCCCTCTAACAATTCTACACATCCAGAAAGCCACAGCTTTCAGTATAATTTGTATTCATTCAATCAATTAGCTTGTATTTACTGTCTATACTATGCCCAGTAGTCTCAGTCTCTGTTCCAGGGGGCACAGAATGGGGAGCCTGGGTCAGTTAGTAGTGCCACGTGTCATTGTAACCTAGATGGCGGCTCAGGGCCCTCTGTCCCTTGGAAATTTAGGAGGCAGATTTAAGGGAAGATTTCATATGGAGGGAAAATGCACCCTGGCTAACACACACACACACACACACACACAAGCACGCACGCACACACGCACAAAATCTAGTGCTAAAGCCAACCACCCCTCCCGCTCTGTGTCTCTCTGTCTCCCTTTCCTTCTCCCCCCAACTTTTATTGTGAAATATGCACACAGAAAAGTACATTAAACAAAAAGTATACATTAACATATAATTATAAAAAATCTGAGCTACCCACTACCCAGGTGAAAAATATTTCTAGCATCATCCTAGAAACACCCGCCCCTTTCAAGTGCCTCTTCCTGATGATCTCATACCTCCTCCAAAGGTGACTCATGGCTATTTTCCTTCTTGAAGTCTTTTTTGTTTTTATTACTCCTGTTTTAATATGTAGAAAGAATCATATTGAATATGTTCTTTTTTACCTTGATTCTTTCAAAAGATTAATCTTATTAGTATCCACTGTAGTTGGATTATGAAAGGAAGATTATTTGTGTCCATTGCTATATAGTCTTCTTTGTATATGAATACATATCAGTTTGCAGTTTGTTTATGCATTCTGTTGTTGGCAAATATTCAAAATGTTTCCAGTGTGTTGTTACATCCTACTAAAGGAAATTCATTTTTTTTTTAATTTTTATAAATAATTTTTTTTTTTGCATAGAACTGAGGTGTAGGCCAGAGGTGCAGGGAGGGAGGGGAGTAGCTCACTGCTGAGGGGAGCAGCGGGAGAGACAGGAGAGGTCTGCTGCGCCATGTGGGTCAGTTCCCTGGCCGGGTGTTGAACTCAGGCCTTAGCACCTTAGTGGTGATAGCACTGAAACTTAACCCCTAGACCACCAGGGAGGCCCTTGATGAGTAGTTTTTAATGTTAATACAGTATTTTGCTTTTCGCAATTAGAGCTGGAATTAGTTTTTATATATACTTGGAGTAGGCATCAAATTCCTTTCTTTATCACGTGGCTACCCAAATGTCATGACGCTATTTACAGAAAAATCTAGCCCTTGCTCACTAATCTGCAATACTTCTTTATTTATCAAGTGGCAATTGATACATGAGAATCTGTCTGAGCTGTCTCATCTATTTTCTGTCAATGCCTGTTTTAATGAGACACTAAATTAGAGCTTTTATAATCCATCTTGATATCTGGTAAAGCAAGTTCTTCTACTTTGTTCTTCAAGAATCTCATGGCTAATTTTACCTCTTCACACTATATATAAATTTTAGAATTGGCTTATTATGTGATACACGCAGAGAACTGTTGATACATTATTCGGGTTGCATTGAATCTGTTGAGAATTGGCATTTTTACAATACTGAATTTTCCAATATTTGAACATAGTATCTATTCTTTTAAGTATTCTCAGTTCTCTCAATAAATTTTTACAATTTAATGTGTTAGAACTCTTTCAGACCTTTTCTTAAGTAAATCCCTAGGTATTTCATATTTTTAGTGCTTTTACCACTGGTATTTTCCAAATTTCTTTTTTTTCTTTTTGCTGATATATGTAAAATATAATTTATATATATTGATCCGCTATATTATCTTATTCATTTGAATAATTTATCTGTAGATTTGTTTTCTGTATGCATTAAATTATCTGCAAGGCATAGCATTTTCTTTTTTTAAAAAATCCTTTAGAGGTTACCAGAGGTGAAGAGTGTGGGGTGGGGGTGGGAGAAGGAATGGAAGGGGGTTAATGGAGGGAAAATAAAATTTTTAAATTTAAATATATTTTTTATTTTTTTGCTTACTCTGCATGCAACACCTTCTACATAATGTCAGCTAGATAGTTAGTGACAGCAGGTACCTTGTCTTGTTTCTGATCTCACAGAGAAATCTTGTAACATTTCACCATTAAGTATGAGCTATATACTGTAGATACTTTGAAATATACCTATTATGTTAAAGAAATTCTTTTTTTGGTAAGATTTATTTATTTTTGCATATAATAGCTACAGTACAGGCCAGAGGTGGGGGGTGGTGGTGAAAGGATTCACCAGAGACAGAGTGGGGAACAGAACAGGCGGATTGGCTGAAGTACACTGCTGAGGGGAGCAGCGGGGGATACAGGAGATGTCTGCTGTGCCATGTGGGTTGCTCCCTGGCCAGGGATCGTGCTGCAGAGGCTGCAAACAGCCTCACAGTTTATGTCTTAACCTCTTGCGACACCAGGGAGGCCCTGTAAACGAAATTCTATTCTTAGTTTTCTAAGGATTTTTATCATAAGTGGAAATCGAACTTTATCAGATGCTTTTTCTATATCAAGATGATTTATAAGCATTCGGAATCACAAAAATTGCATCCTTGTTTCTTCTTAAACTATTACCATAAGTTGCATTTTTAATGTTAAGCCAAACTTAAAATTCTAGATAAATCTAGCAGTACTAATGTGTTACCCTTTTTTATTGTGATTTGAAGTTTTGCCACGCCTATTCCTGCTCCCTCTCCCTTTACTCTTCACAGGTTTTTTCCCTACTAAGTCTCTCACATGTCTAATTTCGTTTAGCACCTTCTTCTCAAGAAGACCAGACATAATGTTATCCTGTCTCTGGCTTCACTTGCTCAACTTTAAGTCTGTGAGAGTCAGCCATGTTGTTACGTGTGGGGTAGTTTGTTCTCTTTTATTGAATGAATGTTCCACAGTGTATGCAGCTCTCCTAATGTTATTGGACATATTGGGCAATAGCTTTCAGCTTGGGGCTCTTATGTTAACGCTTTGAATATGCATGCCTTTTGGTGAAGACATTATGTGCCTTTCCCTTGAGTATATGCCTAGGAAGCAGAGTTGCTGGGTCTAAGTATATGTTTAGTCTTGGTAGATACTGCCAAGCAATACCCCAAGTGGTTGACCAATGCACACTCCAAAGGCACTGAGGAGAGTTCCCGTTGCATTGATACAAATTTTAAAAAACTGTAGTTCAAACAGATTTATGTTACAGCATCCTAATTTCATGTTTAAATGATCCTTTTAAATAGATAACTGCATCAAGAAGATGAGGTATATATACACAATGGAATATTATTCAGCAATCAAAAAGATAAACTCATGCCATTCGCAGCAACAAGGATGGAGCTAGAAGGAATTATGCTCAGTGAAATAAGCCAGAAGGAAAAAGAAAAATATTGGATGGTTTCACTTATAGCAGGAATATAGGGGAACCAAATAAGACATCGGTGCAAAAAAAATAATAACAGTACAAAACACAACAAAGCAAGAACACATAATTATAAATCAGAGACATCCTGCAGGGGAGGAGGAGGGAGAGGGATCAGAGGGAGGGAGGAGCACAGGGGACTATGGCAATGGTGCACGGGTGCCTTGGGGAAGGAAATTCTTTGGGGACTCAATCTGAGGGGGTGGGGGGAAGCAAATAATGTTCAAAAATAAAAAATATAAATTAATTAATTAAATGAATTTTTTTAAAAGATTTATTTATTTATAACAAGCACTGGGTACAGTCAGAAGCGCAGGAGTGTGAGAGAATTCACCAGAGCCAGAGCGGGGAACAGAACAGGCAGACTGACGAAGCACACTCCTGAGGGAGCAGTGGGTGGCAGGAGAGGTCTGTGCGCCATGTGGGACCCTGGCCGGTGCCAGGGATCGAACCAGTGCTGCAGAGGCTGCGGGCAGCTTCGCAACTCAGCGCTCAACCGCTGCGCCACCAGGGAGGCCCTAAATGATTCTTTTAAACACTGATACATATACATAGGAAAAAGTTAATATTCGCCAAAAATGTTGACAGTGATGATGTCAGAGGGAGAAGGGGAGATCACAGGGCACCTTTACTGCCACTTTGAGAAATATTTAAAGTGATTTACAATGATCATATTTTTTTACTTTTAATTACATTGTCCTAAAAATACTAAGCATAACTAAAATTTCCCATTTCTGATATATTTCCTTGTTACATAACATTATAAATCATTGAAAAACAGCAGCTCCCTGTCACACTCCTCTGGCCCCCTCAATCTCCCACCTCCTAGCTTGAACTTTTTTTTATTACTTGGTACTTTCCAAAGGTCTTTTGCAATCTTTATCTGCTGCTTCTTTCTCTTGATCCTTATGGGTTTATATCTTCCCTTTTGCTGTACTGTCATGCAGTGAGGTTTCAAGAGGGAGAGGAAGTTAACGTGATCAGTCTACCACTTTTAATCAGGAGTCCTTGCATGTGGCCCAGGCTTTGGGGCTCTTATCATGTAGTGAGTGGGGTGTATCAAGGAACAGAAGCTGATTGTTTAAGGACATCATTGTGGAGGATAGTGAGGATGGACCTGGGAGGGGGACACACAGAAGTTTGTGGGGAGAATAGAAAGAGCAAACACAGTTAGGAAGATTCAGAGGAAGGCTTCCCACTCAGCAGCAGCAAGATGGAGACAACGACATAAAGGGCATGGAGGTTGGGAGTCTCAAGGTCATCGTCCACATTGGGGGGCTGCTCATCCCCATTCTGCTTCAGAGTAGACTCCACCTGGAAGGAGACCACACAGGTTATAAAAGCTAGGAACAAGGAAACATAAAAGAAATGCTGAATACTTTGCCATTGCCTTGTCCTGCAGCCATGGCAGGAGCACTAGCCTGCTGTGGCGCTCCTCCCTGCCGAGCCTGGACAGCCCTGTGCCCCCTCAGCATCGACGGCACTGCTGATCATCGGTTTGGGCGTACAAGAATGTACCGACAGCTACTCTGGGACTAACCATTTTCCACCACCCTCCTCTTGCCCATATGCAAACAACGGACAGTCCTGAAAACTGTATACCCAGGGAATTGCCACAAACCGGCTGCATGATGTGAGCTGACAGAGAACTGTGAAGTAGGAAGGGACTGTTCCCTGGGGTTTCTGGGTCCCCAGAGACCTGGCGTTCACCTCCTCTATGATCCCGGCCCTCAGCCAGGCTGTCTTACCTGGTCCTTCAGCTGAGGCAAGGTCCCCGCCTCTCGAATCTCATCCACAAGCTGCAAATCCTCAGACAGCTCTGTGGGGATTAAAGAGGGTGATTGCAGAGAGGAGAGGCCCCCAGTGGGTCAGGGCTTCAATTCTGGTAGGACGCAGGACAAGGAGTTTCCCGAGAGCCCAGGGGAGTGTTGGATGCGGGTTATTCCGAATGGACTCCCATTGGGGCTCCTGCTTCCCTCTTAGCTTGTAGGAAGCCCATGTGCCAAGGGGGAGGAGGAGGCGCCTAGTTTCTGAAATGTGAAGGTCTCTCACAAAGTGCAGGGCCTCCCTGGTGGCGCAGCGGTTGAGCGCTGGGTTGTGAAGCTGCCCGCAGCCTCTGCAGCGCCGGTTCTATCCCCGGCTGCTCCCCGGCCACCGGAGGAAGGTCCTGCATGGCGCGCAGACCTCTCCTGCCGCCCGCTGCTCCCCTCAGCAGCGTACTTCGGTCCTTCTGCCTGCTCTGCTCCCCACTCTGGCTCTGGTGAATTCTCTCACCCTCCTGCGCTTCTGACTGTACCCAGTGCTTGTATAAATAAATAAATAAATCTTTAAAAAACAACAACAAAAAAAAAACCCAAAGTGCTTATCTCCCTGGCAGACAAAATATTAAAAAAAAAAAAAAAAGTGTAAAGGGCAATGTCTACCCCCTTCCACCCAAGAAGTGGTTCCCCACAGGACTCTCCATGGGGCTCAGCATTTCCTCCATGCCAGCATACATCCAGACCCTACTCACCAATCAAGGCTTCTAGAAAGTTCAGGACAGCTTCTGCGCGTTTCTCTACCAGGGCCCCAGTATTATTAAAGAGGCACATCATGAGAGTATCCACTGTGTCGTCCTCCGTGTCCTCCTCCAACTGCAGCTCCCCAGAGCACAGGACCACAGACACCTGGGGCCAGAAGATGGGGGAGGTGAGCACCGACCGGGGAGACACATCTCTGTGGGTCAGTCTCCCTCCCCACCGGCTCCTCCCTCTCTCTGCCCAATTGGGTCTCTTACTCTTTGCTGCAGATCCCGCAGCTGCTGCACATCCTTCTTGAGGCAATCAAACAAAGCTTGTTTCTCCTTCTCAGTCAGATCCTCGAGGATTTCCTCCATGTCCTCCACCTTCTCCTTCAACTTCTCAAAGTTTCCAAAATCCTCCAAGTTTTCAGAATCCTCCAAAGTCCCAGACCTCCCTGTAGAGGCAGCAATTAAGAATCTGGCCTGCCCAGCCCAAAGTCTCCACTCCTGTTCTCCATACCCCACCCCTTACCTCCCCCTCTTCCAGAGACCACCTCTCTGTATCCTCCTGTCTTCCAACATTTTCCTGTTAACGTGAAGCACTTTCTTCCCAGACACCCACCATCACTGCCTCCCACCGACCCCTTTCATCTCTCTGGCTCATGCCCAGTCTGGCACCAACCCCAAGTTCTTCTCCTCCAGGTAATCAAACTTATTTAGTCCTTGGTAGTCAACACGCAGTCCTTGGACCACACTAGGAGTGGTGAGTGTGTAGAGGGAGTTAGAGCAGGTTCTCAGCCTTGACTGTGCCTGAGAATTACCAGAGAGTGACTGAAAATCCTGACACTCACACCACACTCCGATCAATTAAATCAGACTTTTTTGAGGTGGGACTCAGGTATCACTAGTTTTAAGCTCTCCCACGTGAGAACCACTGTGTTTAGAGGAAACAGGTGCAACTTCCAGACTAACTTGAAACCTGCTTTGGCCTGTGCCTTAGTCTTCTCCCTCATCGCCACCGCCCCCCACCCCACACACACACACAGCTCCCCCACTGAGCTGCAGTCCTTGAGCCCACAGGGGTGAGCCTGAACACTGCTGGCTCCAGTCCTTACCTGTGCAAGCTGCATTACCACCTTTCTCTGCAAAGAGAGCAAGAAGAATCTCAGAGAGTCTTCAGGTCCCCTCCAACTCCCCAATGGACATTCTTTTTTCAGCAGTGGAAGTTTTTATTCCCGGACACTGAACCCCCATCCCTGCCCACACCAGGGAGCCTGCATCCTTGTCGTCGTCGTTGTGCATACATGACAAGGCACATGAATGCAGAGCGAGCCCTGTATCTGAGACCCTTCCCACAGCCTCGAAGACAGGCAGCCAGGGGACTATGCCAGGTGGCTGGCAAAGAAACGAGCCCCAGAGAAGGTTCAACAAACCCTTCGTCACTCGGCAAATGTGGTTTACCACAGGGACTGAATTTATCTCCTAACTGGCCTCTGTTATGGGACTTTAGAGTGATAGAGATTCACTCTCTTGAGCTAACAAGACCTTGCCAGGACTGAACCTACAACTTGTACAACTTCCAGGAGTTTCTTGAATTTTCTCTCTTTTCTTTTTTTTTAAGATTTATTTATTTATTTATACAAGCACTGGGTACAGTCAGAAACGCGGGTGGGTGAGAGGATTCACCAGAGCCAGAGCGGGGAACAGAACAGACAGACTGATGAAACACACTGCTGAGGAGAGCAGCAGGCAGCAGGAGAGGTCTGCTGCACCATGTGGGACCCTCACCTGGCGGCCGGTGATCGAACCGGCACTACAGAGGCTGCGGGCAGCTTCGCAGCCCAGTGCTTACCACTGCGCTACCAGGGAGGCCCAGTTTCTTGAATTTTCTACCACATCCAGACCTCTCTCTACCCTTTTCTGAAAGCTAAGTCAGTACAGCACTTTTTGGGACCCAGGGAAAAAATGAAATTCCAGAGGAAGTTTCAGGCAGAATCTCATGGATCTTGTAGTCTAACCCATTAACTTAAAGCTGGGACAACCGTGGCTGAGGAGGCCAGAGAGCTAGAGAGAGGCAGAAGCAGGACTGGACCCTAGATTGTCTGACCCCCAGTCAGACAATGGCACAACTCCTTCATAGCCACTATTATGTAAGAACCGGCCAGAGAACACAGAGTTTCCTCAAGCAATAATCTTTCAACAGGGCTGTGAGCCCAGGGTCCTGCACATTCACCCACACAAAGCAGGTCAGAGTGGTTGGAGCCAGGAAGGCAATGCGCAGCCCAGTCTACTTCTCCAACGGGCAGATTTTTCTCCTGCCCTTACCATGGTCCCCACCCCTGGATGTGCCCTACTGCATTTTTAGCCCTAAAAAGTCTCTAAAACAGTATCCCCTGGCTGTGCAAGGGGTTAAGCACTGCACTATGAAGCAATCTGCAACCTCTGCAGCATGAGTTCGATTCCAGGCCAGCCATGGAGCTACCCACATGGCGCAGCAGACCTCTCCTGTCTCGCCCGCTGCTCCCCTCAGCAGTGCACTTTGGTCAATCTGCCTGTTCTGTTCCCCACTCTGTCTCTGGTGAATCCTCTCAACCCCCGCATCTCTGGCCTGTACCCCAGCTCTTGTATGCATAAATAAATAAAATCTTTAAAAAAAAAAATAGTATCCTTGCCTGTTGGAAATGATGACCAGGAGGCCCAGAGGCTCACTCACCTGGGAAGGAGTTTTTTTTGTCCAGGACAAATATATCTAAACCAGCACAAAAAAGAGAAAAAGAATGGAAAAGCTGTTATCAGAAAATCAGTTCTCTCTGTAAGTTCTTCTTTCCAGTCCCTCCCCAGTCCCCATACCCTGCTAACCCACCAAAAAAAAAAAATAATATTGGGAATCCACACATCCAGGGAAAAAGGAATGTAGAACAAATCCCGAATCAGCATCAGGCCTTCTCAGTCCTCAACCCTCCCTCTGCCTTGGAACTGCCACCCCTTCAAGCTGACAGGGGCCCCTCCAGGCTGACAGGCTCCGCGGTGAGTTCAGGCCCCCTCTCCCCGCCAGGTCTTGCTTACTCATAATCCCCTCGTTGTGGAAAAAGAGCTGCTCCACTTGGTAAGCCAGGACCCGGTCGGCAGGGATGGTCACTGACCTTTCGTGCTAGAAAAGAAGAGCTCTTGTTGACTGAGGCCTAGGTGCTTTGCATAGTTATCATAGTTATCTTACTGATCTCCCAAACAATACTGAAAGGCAGACAAATTATTCCCACTTTATAGATGAAAGAACCGAGGCTCAGGGAGGGTCAGTGGGTGAGCCTGTTTTGCTAAAAAATGGCAGGTCTGATCGAACCCCCATCTGTCCTCCAAAACTCAGTTGTTTCATGGTTCACTCAACAAATGTTTATTGAGGACCTGTTTTTTCCAGGCGCTATGGCTCCTGCCCTCCAGCTGCCTAGAAAAGGAGGCAGACTATGAACAAGCACAAAACAAACAAAAAACCCCACCCATGTAATTATGAACCATGGGACCTGATGTTGATTTGGAGATGCTGGGTTCAGGGATTGGGGTCCTTGGCTTAACTCTGGGACAACTTTCACCAGAGCTCCCCTTTCAGCGGCGTTTCTCCACAAGACTGAGGCACTGAAGAGAGCACACAGGACATCACAAAACCCTGGCCAGCAAAAGATAAGCTCAACTAGAGATAAGCTGACAGCAGTAAATACTCCAGCAGACACTTCTGGCAGGAGAAACTCCTGCCCGGGCAGTAAATTCCAGCATATCCCCTCCTGGCAGGAGAGACCATGTCACCCTCCACCCTTCTGCACCAAAAAACTCCGGCAGTAGCCTCACCCTATAAAGACCTGAGCTCCCATTTGGGGCACGACTCTTGGCCTGCAGAGAGTTGTCACCTCACGGACTTTCAATAACGCCCGCTTTTGTCTGATACTCTTGGTCTCCTTTCTTTTCTAACTGACATTATATCCAAAAGGGCAGGTTTATTATAAAAAGGGAGAGAAGAATAAAGGAAAACTTGCACAGACACAAGCGGGCAGAAAGAGATGCCCGCTCTTTCTGAGAGATGCCCCCAGAAGGGACAGGTTTGTTAAAAGAGAGGTCTGTAGTCACAGGCAGGCAGCCCTGGGAGGAAGCTGCCTCTGCTGCTCAGCAAAGGGAGAAGGCTGGTGAAGAGAAAGAAGCACCTGCATAGTCCCAGGCGGGCAGAAGGGCCGCTGCCCCTTGCCAGTGCAGAAATTGCACTGATGTAGTCTTCCTTTCTTTGGCAGGGTTCATTCCTTTGCGGAGTTAACTTTTGTTGAATAAATTACTTCTAGGGTATGACTAGGTCGATTTGTAAGTACCAGTGGTTCTCTACAATGGCCCTCCCTCTCCATTTTCCCACCTCTGGCCTGCGGGTCACGTGATGGCAGTTGGAGCCTATGGATTTTCTCTTTCTATTGCTGGCTTAATAACTATGCTAATCTCTTCTACCCCCACCTCCAGCTTTTGGCCTTGTGATGCCTCTTTTCTGAAATTTCTGCTTTTAGCCTCCATAAGGAAGCACTATGTGCTAGCAAGCAAGTGATAAAGGGGTTCACTAGAGAGTAACAGGGGAGGGAGTAGCAATGCCACACAGCCTACCTGGGGACAAGAAGAGAAATCCTAAGAAGTCCAAGAAGCAGGCAAAATTGCTGAGGGAGGTCTGAAGAGAGAATTTGCAGTCTGGGATGGCACCTCTGACCTGCAATGGGTGCACCTATCCCTGCCTCCTGGATACTTACATGGTCTTTATATGTGGCTTCACCACGACCATCGCTGGAAACTGGTGGTGCCAGTACTTGGAAAAAAAATGTTCTTCTCAAGTTTTTTTTCAGGGTTTCCTCCTTTTCATTCCTTAGAATTCCTGACACCAAATACAGGTCTCCTCTCATGTCACGGATTGATTTGAATGAAGCAGGTAGTTCCTCCTTCAGGTTCCTGGAGGTTGAGGAGAAGAGATGAGAGCTCAGGATCTCAGGGGCCTCACTCCCCAGTGGCACTGCTCCTTCTCCATCAGCAAGTTCCTAGTTGCGATGAAGTGCTTCTGAGGCTGAGAAACCAAGAACCACAGCACCCCCATGGAAGCCCACTTTACCCACTGAAGGGGTCAAGGGTGCATGTGGGCGAGGAACCCCTGCAGCTGTGGAAGGTTACAGTGTGCAGCACCCTGAGATTCTTCATGTCATTTCCTCTCACCTTCACTAGAAACCTATGGTGGACAGAACTGCATCCACTTTTCATAAGAGCACACGGAGGCTTACAGACAGGTTGTGAAGACCCCGGGTCACGCAGCTGGTAAGTGCAGAGCGGGTCTGCATGGCTGCAAAGCACATGCCCTTCCTATGGCATGGAGAGAGGCATCCGCGCAGCCCACACGCCCCCTTATCTGAGAAGGGGCTCCAGCTCCTCACACCATCCCTGGACGCATCTCTGCTCCATAAGGAGATTCACTTTGTGACTTAAAGCAGCCTGATGGTGCTTCCGATGTTTGCAGCCAAAAGACTCTCAAGACAGACTACATCCTTGCTGCTGATGACCTTGCTCTAGCTATCCAGGACTCTCCCCCAACTCTACAAACACACAGCACATAGCCTCACCCATTCTAGAAAACACTGATCTAACTTAAAAAACTCCAAGGGCCCCTCCCCAGCAATACTGAGGTAGGAGAAGTTCAAAAGACCTAAGATTTCATTAAAAGCCTTTCCATTTTCCATTATAGAGAAAAAAACAAAATATCCACCCCACCTGAGGAAGACTTGCCCAGGCACCTTCCCTTAAGCTTGTCCACCCTTCCCAACAATTCCAGCTGGGGAAGGAAACCCCCACACCAGCAACAAATGATGGCTGCGAAGGTGATGTTGTCCCTTCAAGCTGGAGGCACATGTGCGCCGCTCTCAGAGCCTCTGTGAGTCCTGGCTGGTGCCGCCCTGGTAGGGTCAGGGTGACTCTGTGTAAGAATCTACTGGGGGTTCTATTGCTGGGGTTAGCAAATAGATAAGGAGAGGTTAGGAAAGTCAGTCCCGGGTCACACGTTCCAGGGAGGAGAAGGAGGTGGGAAGCACTGACTCGCCACAAGGCCAAGTGAGATAAGCACAAAATACAGACTTGGGCAACTCAGAACAGGAGCAGAAGAAAGCGGCCACTTGGGCCAAGGCCAAATAACCAATCACCCTGGATGGCGCTCCAAGGATGGAGTAAAGTGGGGACCTCCAAGTATTCTTGAAGCTGCTCCTAGAAGAGCAAGCCTCCTGGGGTAAAGGAGGAAGTTGGGGAGAAGGGGTGTGGGAGGAAAGGGTGAGAGGCTATACCAGCCTGGGTACCCCCATCTCAGATGCCCTTGGTGCCCAAGAAGGGCTTCTCCATTTCTCCCTCCCTCTGCTGCTCACCTCCAGCCTCACCTGTTGTCAAGGGAATCCAGATCTTTCTGGGACATGAAACGTTGGCATACACTGATTTCTTGAACCTGGGACTGTTGGACGCCCGCTCCAACTCTTACTTTTAGGGGTAATTTCACTGATAATTTTGTGTCATCCTGACACTCCAGTTTAACTGTTGGACCTGGAAAGAAAAGGATAAAGGTCTCACTGAAGTTCACCCAAAAGATTTCTCCAGAAAACCCTCCTGGAGCAGCCCCACCCTGCACTTGTCTTTACCACCCCCTTCTGAGGGAGTCCTCAGCTCCCCAGCAAATGCTGCTCTCACCAGGGGTCACCAAGGGGTCACACTCTGCGCTCTGAGCCTCTCTGCTACAGTCTTACCCAGTGATCCTGGATAAGTCCTTAACTTCTTAGGATCTATTATTTATAGAAGAAAATGTTAATAATGCCTGCTTCCTGTTCTAGTGGAAATTAGATAAAACAATGCAGCTGAGCACATAACTAAGTGCCCCTCAGTGCTCAGTGTGAGCTAGTCCTACTTAACTACTTGAGAGGCTGAAATGAGATAAGGAAAAGTAAAGCTGAAGTATCAGGAGCCCCTGCCCATCAAGAAATAAAAATTAAGCCGAGCGCCCACTGTAACCACCCCATATGAAGATGGAGCAGATCTAGTTGCTGAAAATCAGTACAAATTACCAACCTACTTCATGGTGAAGGATTTTTTTAAAGTCTGTTTTCACCTCTGCCTCTGAATTTTTTTTACACAGACTTTTCCTTCAAAGAAGTTAACTAACAGTCAAAATGTTTATCCATACATACACTTTGCCCCTCTCCCTGGAGAGTAATATGATCACTGCAAAACCGCCTCATCCTAGTTTAAAGTTTTCTTCTGTTTACAGTGAACTTGTCCATGGGCAAAATGATTTTTTTTGAAAACTAGTTTCTAATAAACTGTCCCTTGGCAATTTGCTTTTCAGAGATTGACTCAGATTGGCAAATGCTAATCTGAACTTTTCAGTTCAGTTCAAGTCCCTTGCATGCTGCTCACAGGAAGGCTGCCCCCGGCACTGCTCTTGGTCACAGATGTCATCTCCAGGACGCAGCAGGTGCTCTAAACTGCACTGTGGTGTCCGGATCCTGCTCATGTCTGCTGAGACCCAGTAATGGGGGGGTGGGGGGTTGGTGGCAGTGGCTGCCCAGGCGATAAAGCTACTCACCACCGGTGGAGGCACTGCAGAGTCTCCAAGTGAGGGCTCAACAACATTTACTGGGCTTCTGGAACTGGAGAAACCCCAGGAATAGCCCATCTGGGAATCCCGGGATGGAGCAGACTCCGCTAGAAAGACCTTCAAGGCCTTTGGGAGCTCTGCTCTCACCAAGTCCCACTTAGTCATGATATCCAGGGAACAGGAAAGGATAACACTGACTTGACCGGCACCAAGAGCATGAGCAGTGCTGAAATTTACTGAGTACTCCTTCTCGGCAGCCCCAGGGACAACTGATTGGCATCATTTATCTCATTTGATTCTTGCAACAGTTGGCAGATGAGGAGACAAACCAAGAGAAAGTACCTTGTCCAGAGGTCTCCCAGCCGGAAGCGGCAGGGCCAGGCTTTGCAACCCGTGCTCCCAAGTCTAAAACCTGCCTCCTTTCTCAACCACTGAACAAACAGCCTTTATTTATCCATTTAAATGATAAACATATGAACCCATGAGAAGACCCCAGCTAATTTAAAAGTAAATTATTTGCAAAGGGGGAAAATGGGACAGGAAAGCTACTTGGGAATAGTAAACTATATTTACTTACAATATAAATAAGTTTCCTCAACCCGCCCCCTCTTCCCTCCATGCAGTCCTTGCATTACCCAAAAGAGGCGTGTGGACATGGACATACAAATTCCACAGTGTCTGTGTGACTGGCTGACTTGGTTGATGGCAATGGGGAGTTGAGAGTGGGGTGCAGTAGGAGCCGGTGAAGTCTCATGTTGACCAGGTCTCCGTGATTCATACTGACCTTGTACACTAGAGTCCGTCACGTCACTCTCCGTACTCTCCAGTATGTCCTCCAGAGTGAGGCCTGTGCTGATGTAGTAGCACTGTCCCCAGAAACTCCTCCTTCCCATCACCAGAGATAAGTACTGAAACTTGTCAGAACTAACAATGCTTTTGGCAGCAATCATAGATCCTCCACTATCCAACTCTTTAACCACAGTTTTTGTCATCTTCTCGAATATGCTGGGCATTGTTCCTGGGCCAAGCAGGAAAAGAAAGTCAGTTTCAGTTTGGAAGAGAGTTTCGCTTCACCTTTTTTTCAATCTTCTACCTTTGGCGACCTGAGGCCAATGAAGAGCTAAAGTGGGTAGGAAACCAGGACCTGGCATCATTTGCCTTCCCTGTTTCTAAAGGTGAAGCGGTCACTCCACACCGAGGAGGAGGGACTGTCACAAATGATGGTTCTCCTGGGCCCCTCGTGGAACCCTCCAGAGGAAAGAAGGAGCAGCGATTCCCAAAATGGAGAGCGAGACCTGCTCTCTGCATCACCCCACGGCAGACTTGCCCCCTTGTTCAGGGGGGCCTGTGGGATGGGAAGGCAGGTCAACCACTGCCAGCCAGACCTCACCCAGTTTCATGAACAAGGACCCAAGAGGGATGAGGTGCAGGGCTGCCCCAAATTATAGACTGGTGACTTCTTCCCTCAGCTCTGACTCCTGCCCCCCCCATTGCTGTGTTCTGCAAGGCAGTCAGTTAAAGGGGTGCCATTTCCCAACAAGATGGCCGTGGGTCAGCCTCAGAGGAAACAAAAGAGAAAGTATGGTGTATGAGAGCCACTTGAGCTGCGTGCCCTGGACAAACACCACCCCAGATCCTCTCGCCTCAGTTTCTGGTCACCTTCTGAGGGTCCTTACATGTGGAAATTTAAATGAGTTGCAGAACCCTACTTGGGGCAACTCCCCCAGCTCTTCCAGGTATCTACTTGCACCTGTCTATCTCCCCTCCGCCGCAGGCAGACAGGCCTGTCTCCACAGGCCCACCTCTGTTCAGTAGCAGCTCTCTGTCCCTGCCACATCAGACCCTGCAGGCTCTCTTACCCCCAAGTCCTCCTTACTCTCTCCCCTTCCATTGATCATTCTACAGTTCTGCCTCTTGAGATCTCTTCCCCTTTCTTCAGGTTCCTTTACTTCCCTCCTCAGGCAGTAAACTCCCCTCATAAGCTTCTTGGGCTGCACTTGCCCACCCTACCTCCACCCACCTTCTCCTCAGGCCTTCTGGCTGGCCCTCACACCTGCTCACACAAGCTCCTTCTTCTGTCCCTGGCCCCAATCATGGCGGCTGACTCTTGCCTCACTCCCAGTCTAGGGAGTCTTCCGTGCATCTGGAAAGGCAGAGCCCACCTTAGGGGCCACCTACCTCTTCTCTTCTCTGGTCTCTGCTGCTCACAGAAATGGAGGTTCTGGGAATCCCTTCTGCACGCTCTCTGAGTTCCTGGCCGCTGGAAGTTCTTATAAAGGAACCGAAAGTAATTGGAACCTGAGGTGGAGCCAGGTGCCTCACCCCTGAGGTGGGGCACATCACGATCAATTTGAGGCAGATAGGGCCAGAGAAAGCAAACTTTCACTCAACTCTTGGACCCAGGAAATAGGTGAGACAGATGGAATCTCTATAAATGCATTTTTTCCACCTGATATGCACCCCATTTGAATTAGAGCCAGAGGATGGATGAGGCATACTGTCTAGTGAGATCCGAACGGAAACAGAAAAGGGGGTTTGGGGGTACGGCCAAGTGCCAGAGGCAGCAGCTATAGCTGTGCCAGGATAGGAAAGGAGGGACTGGTTGGGACCAGCTACTCCAAGGCCAGACTGAGGTGGGACCACTGAAACTCAGAGCAAGAGTTGCCAACATCTGTAGGGCTGGCTGTTGTGGTATTACTACTAAATTTAAAAATTAGACCCCCAGGGCCTCCCTGGTGGCGCAGGTGGTTGAGCGCAGGGCTGTGAAGCTGTCTGCAGCCTCTGCAGTGGCGGTTACATCCCTGCCAGCCCCAGAGCAACACACAGGGTGAGCAGACCTCTCCTGTCTTGCCCGCTGCTTCCCTCAGCAGTGTGTTTCATCAGTCATCCTGTTCTGTTCCCCGCTCTGTCTCTGGTGAGTCCTCTAAACCTCCCGTGCGTCTGGACTGTACCCCGGCTCTTGTATAGATAAAATAAATCTTTAAAAAAAATTAGGCCCCCACAACTCAACAAAAACAAACCAAACACCCCAATCAAAAACTGGGTAGAAGAACTAAAAAGACACTTCTCTGAAGAAGAAATGCAAATGGACAACAGACATATGAAAAAATATTCAACATCACCAACTATCAGGGAAATGCAAATCCAAACCACAATGAGATACCACCTCACACCCGTGAGAATGGCACATATTAAAAAAACTGGAAATAACAAATGCTGGAGGAATGTGGCGACAAAAGAACCCTCTGTCACTGCTGGTGGGAATGTAAGCTGGTCCAGCCACTATGGAAAGCTGTGTGGAGGGTCCTCTGAACACTGAAAATGGAGCTACCAGATGACCCAGTGATTCCACTCCCAGGCAAGTACCCAAAGGACACAAAAACACTAATTTGAAAGGAAACCTGCACTCCTATGTTTACTGCAGCACTAATTACAATAGCCAAGATGTGGAAACAACCCAAATATCTCAAAACAGACAAATGGATCAAAAAGTTATGTTATATTGGGCCTCCCCTGGTGGCGCAGCGGTTGAGCACTGGGCTGCGAAGCTGCCTGCAGCCTCTGCAGCCCCAGTTCGATCCCTGGCTGCCAGCGAGGGTCCCACATGGGGCAGTAGACCTCTCCTGCCGCGCCCGCTGCTCCCCTCAGCGGTGTACTTCGTTGGTCTGCCTGTTCTGTTCCCCGCTCTGGCTCTGGTGAATTCTCTCACCCTCCCGTGCTTCTGACTGTACCCAGTGCTTGTATAAATAAAAATAAATAAATCTTTAAAAAAAAAGTTATATTTATACAATGGAATATTACTCAGCTATCAAAAAAAGACAAACTCATGCCATTTGTGGCAACATGGACAGAGCTGGAATGGGTTATGCTACCCGAAATAAGTCAGAAGGAAAATGATAAATATAGGATGGTCTCACATACATGCAGAATATAGAGAAACCAAACAAAAGGTCAAGAAAAAAACAAAACTAGCAAGCTGACCATAGATCTGGGGCACAAGGGAAGGGGAAGGAGAGGGGGGTCAAAACAGGGGAGGGGAGAGCACAAGGGGACATGGTGATGGTTCACAGGTGATATGGTGGTAGGAGAATAACAGGGAGTACAACAATGTAAGAAAATTTTCTGGACCGCCCCGGTGGCGCAGCGGGTTGAGCGCTGTGCTGTGAAGCTGTCTGCAGCTTCTGCAGCATGAGTTCGATCCCCGGCTGGCCAGGGAGAAACCCACATGGCGTGGCAGACCTCTCCTGTCTAGCCCACTGCTCCCCTCATGAGTCTTCGGTCCGCCTGCCTGTTCTGCTCCCCGCTCTGTCTCTGGTGAATTCTCTCACCCTTCTGCACCTCTGACCTGTACCCCAGCTCTTGTATAAATAAATCAATCTTTAAAAAAAAAATTTTAATAATATTTTTTTTTTAATAATAAATAAATAAATAATAAAATAAAAACTAAGCCCCCACTCCTTGCCTGGCAGGTAAGTTTGGGAGGCTTGAATGGATGGAGTGGATGGGACTGCCATGCGAACTGGTCCTTACGCTAATGACCCGGCCCATGAGTCAGGACACGCTGGAGACCAGAACCCAAACCAATCAGCAATGCCTGGAGCATAAATAGAGCCTCGGGACCCTCTCTCTCTGCGCAGCAGCTCCTCTTAGCAGTGTATTTCAGTAAATCTGCTTGTTCTCCACTGTTTGCTGAATTATTTCATCCCCCATCTCTGGCCTACACCCCGATTCTTCCGCACAACACAGGCTGGATCAGTAAGGACACAGCTGACTCTTTCCACACACTCCCGGGGAGTCTTCTCCGGGAGAGGCCACCTCCTGTCCCCTTCACCCGCACCCTTCTCCAGGGAGAGGCCTCTGGTCCCACCACTCAGTCCTCAGACATGACCAGGCGTCTGTCCTTGGCCTGCTCCCTCAGTTGTCAAAGAACACCCTAGGAGGTGGCATGGTGGTCACCAACAAAGCTACCCTGTGTGAGGTGCTGACCACACACCGGTGCTGGGCAGGCCTCATGACAGCCTGGGAGCAGCTGTCCTTACACAACAGAAGAAACTGCAGCTCTGAGAAGCACCCTGGCATGGTCACAAGGCTGGTGCCTGGCAGAGCTGGGTTTGAACCCAGATTGTTAATGTGCCCTATGCCCTCACGCTGACTGCACTCCTGTGGGTGCTGGAGGATCCCGGGGTGCCCCACCCCAAGCAGTAGCACAGAAAGCAATTCTCTTCCATGTGGACCTCATTCTGGGGTGGTGCTGAAGTTGGGCAGAGACCTTGCTGTCACCCCAGCAAGATCTGGACCACGGCCAAAGGCCACTAGCTATCTCCCTTTAACCTGGGACTTTGCACCTGTTCCAGAATAGATGACACTGCCGGAACACGGCACTAATAGCACCTCCTCTCCTGGCCCGTGAGCTATGGAAGTCCTGGGGCGTCACCTCCTCCCTTCCCACTCATGCTTACAGTAGAGAAGCAGCAGCATCAAGATTCCTCTGGAGACAGAGAGGCCAGGTCAGGCCTCTTCCCAGGGAAGGCGCACCAGGGAAGGAACCCAGAACAAAGGACTGGGCACTCCCTGGGACACCCCTTCCTGTGGGGGGACACCTCTTCCTTTGGAAGCCACTGCTAGACCCAGCCCCTCTGGCCAAGGCAGAAGCCATCCCTCTGCTGGCCCTGCCCCACTGAGCCCAGGGGCCTAAGCGGCTAGAGAAGCAGCCAGGCCGTCAGAGGAATTCTGCTCTCAGGCCTGCTGACTCCTCAGCCAGTTCCCTGGCAGTCCCTCTGGCTCACTGGGCCGGCTCCCCTCTTCCCAGAGCAACAGGAAGAGCAGCGTTCATTCCCAGGGTCCCACCCCCCCTCCCAGGCCAAGGCTCCAACTGATGCTCCCAGGCTGCCCACAGCAGGAGCTGCCCACAGCCCTGACCCTCCCCCAGGGCCCTCCAGGAAGCAGAGGCAGAGTCGGGGGAAACAGGAACACACTGTCCTTTATTTGCATTTCTCAGAATACTGTACAAAGGGAGTAAAAATCCTATTCACACTTTGCTTAGAAAGATTTTGAGGTGAAAGTTCCCTATGATACATGGGGGGGGGGCGCAGGAAGCAGAAAACAAGGCCAGTGACCTCCTCTCCTCCCTCAGGACCTGGGAGGGGACACAGGCATCACACCTTTTCCAAAATAACACACTCTAGTCAGCCGGGAGGAGAAGGGCTCTGCTCCTTGCCAGCCAGCGCTGCTCCACTCCCGCCTCTCTTCCCCGGCCATCTCAGTGAGGAGACAGCCCTTGCAGGCGCCAGCAGGGCCCAGGCAGCACCCAGCAGCCACCAATCTGTGGGGTGGCCTCACAGCCCACACTGTGTGCCACGCACACCAGAGAGGGGCTGGGCCCCACGCAGGTCCACACAGGAGGCCATGAGGCGAAGGGCGGTGGCAGGGCCTGCCATCCCCCATCTGTCCAGTCCCCAGGTCCTCGCGGCACTGCCGAAGGCTCTGTCAATGGCCTGGGCCTTTGATGACTCCTGGGCTTCTCCCACTGTGAGCCCCTGATGCGAACCCAGGAGCTGCAAACCCACAGCAGCCTCCCTTCCTGCCACCAGCCCATTCTGCAGGTAAATGAACTCCCCGAGCCTGTTCCCCTACCTGTCCACTTCCCAAAGGGTGAGACTGGGTATAGCTTATCCCCACCCTCTGTCCCTCCCTTGCACCAATTTCTGCTGCTTACCAGCACCCTAACCCACAAGTGCTCCCCTCAGCCCGCCACCTCCCTCAGGGCCAGGATGGCAGGGCTCCTAGCCGGCCCCACCACCCCTCCCCTACTCAGGTGGGCTGTGGGGAGCTGCCAAAAGCATGAGCCCTGGACAGGACAGGTCTCCCCCCAGAGGGTGAGGCACCGCCACAGGTTTGCTTTCCTGCACACCAGCACCCGCGCGTGTCAGCCCAGAGGCCTAGGAGCTAAAGTGAAACAATGGAGAAGCCGTACCGTCCCCGCTGCTCCCCTCGCAGGGGTTAAAGTGCTTTAGTGGTCTGAGGATGAGCAAGTGAACAGGGGGCTTCCCTGGCCTCTTGTCCCCACCCCACAGGTCTGTGCAGTCCCGGAGTCCAGCTCATTCCACGACCACCCCCACAAGTCTCTATTCAAAAGGCAAAAGGAAAAGACAAAAAAAGTTAGAAGAGGTCAGAGCCCCAGGAGGGCCCACCCCAACCCCACTACACGCTACTTCAACTCGGCTACTGGGGAGGTCGGGGAAACCAGGGCCCAGCGGCGCAACCCCCATCTCTGGCGGCTCCAGAGGCTCCTTCCGTCTCCAGCATCACAGCACAGGCTTCCGCTCGCCCGCCGGCCGGGGCGGGGAAGGGCTGCACCCTCAGTACTTATTGATTCCAAAAATGCGGACTCCGTGGAGCTGGGGCAGCTTGGGGATGAGCACGCTCATCAAGGACACCGTGTTGAGGATGAAGTGGATCTGGTCGTACTTGGTGTAGAAGCTGGTGAGGAAGTACCTGGAGGGGAAGGTGAGGGAAGAGGTGTGAGGCTCTACTGGGGTCCCCTTCCTCCCTCACTTCTTGGGGCTTGGGGGAGGTGGAGAGTCCTGACAGCAGGGGAGTGAAGGGAAAGGCCCCAGACAGGAATAGAATGCAAGATCTCCCCTGAAAAAGGGCTCCCTCCAGACCCAGTGCCCGTGCGCTACCCCACCTGTGGGCCTCGGGCCCCAGCAGGAAGGAAGCCCCACCTGGAGAAGACAGGTCAGTGGACCCAGGCCTGCACCCAGGGTAAGACCCAGGGTATTCCGACTCCCCTTCCTCTGTCCACTGCCAGGAGCTAGCGCTGGGCTGGGGTTTAGACCTCCCTAGGCCCCGTCCCCTCCGGTCCTCGGCCTGCCCGCTGGCCTCCACCCAAGGTAAGCACTCACAGCACGATGGGGGTGATGGTCAAGAACTTCCGGGAGGCTGTGAACTGGACCCCGTAGTCCATCTGCTCCCAGTGGGTAAGCAACCTCGCCTTGCCCTGGTCCGGGGTCTCGAAGGGCGTCCCCTTCACCGTGTGCAGGAAGATGTACATGCCCTGTGGGAGGAGCCTTCGTGAGAGGCGCAAAAGGCAGGAGGGCCTGCGGCTCAGCAACTCCAGCCATCACAGAAGTGGACTCCGGGTGGACCGCAGCCTCCCTCTGCTGGCAGGGCACGTTGGCCGGAGGGGAAGGGCAGGCCTGGCACGGGGAGGAGAGCGCCACAGAACCGGCAGCAGTTGCCTGTGCCCAGCCAGCCTGTGCCAGCTGGGAAGGCGAGTCAGCCAGAAGAGACCAGGTCCCTGCTCATCCACCAAAAGAGGACAAGGAAGCAAGCAGGGGTGCGGGGGTAGTGAGGGACTAGAGTGGCAAACAGTTTGAGATCCCCACTTGGGAAAGGGTCATGTCAGCACCTAGGTCCTGGGCACACTTTGGGGTCCCATACTCAGCTCCCTATCTTCCAGGTCCACAAGTCACCCCATCCTGGCAATGTGGACAAATCCATAGATTTTACTCCTCTTATCAGAGGGGGCAGAGAGGAGAGCTGGGCCCGGGTTCTGGTGACAGATGCTGTCAGCACATGGCTCTGACATCTGGCCCCTGTCCCAGGGACTGTTTCTGCTCCTCAGCCCCGCCAAAGAGCAGCCCCTGGCGGTCAGGGCAGCAGCAGGAGGGCCTTACCATGTTGTGGATGAGGTTGGTGAGGGTCCAGACGACAGGGACGCTCACGAAGGGGATGCTGAGCAGCACGACGTGGAGAAGCCCGATGGCCAGCACGTAGGAGAGCCAGATGCCACGGCTGTTCATCACCCGCGTGTTGGGGTTCACCTCACTGTGCGCCGTGCCCACGTTCATCCTGCCCCCTTCTCCTGTCGCTCTTCTACAAACAAGCAGCAGAAGTGAGCCAGGTCAGGCCCCCTCCCCAGCCCCTCCAAATGCTGCAGGGCAGACATTGCTCTCCCCAAGAACTCCAGGCTGTTCTGTTCTGACCCTCAAGCACGGAAGCCAGAGACAGTCTGTTCATTTCCCACTGCTGCACTGACCAGGCTGCCCTGACATCACCTGATCAGGACTCCAGGCCCTGGGTCATCAAGAGGCGTTCAGTCCCAGAGCAAAGAAACACTGCCTGTCCCCCAATTTCATAGGGCTCATCCCACAAAGCGCAAGAAGGAGAAAAGAGGCGTGTCTCCAGAGTCACTTGGCACAGCCCCATCCGTACTGAGGGCCTGAAGTGGGCCCTTCCCAGGAGTAAAAGGAAGTGGCCTGTGGAACAGGTAGCAGTGGAAGAAATATTTGGGGGATTACTTCTCCCCCAACCCTGACCTAGAAGGAAGGACAGGGTACAAAAAGAATAAAGGGAAGAAAAGAGAAAAACAAACTAGAGGCAACCTTTGCCCAGACCTGGAAGACCTCCTTCTTGGTGACACAAGGCCTCCTTCTTGGTGTCACAACCCATCCAGATGTTTTACCCATTTGGCAGCCAATCAAGCTAACCCTCGTGATGCCACTCACTGCACTGCCAAGCCACCCGATTCCTTTCCCCACCACCAGAGGAAAAGCAAGCATAGAGGCCGTGGCCAACTCTACAGCTCCCACAGGGAGCTGAACCCACATCAACACCCTCTTCCTAAGGACACAAAACCACTCTCCTGCCCCCCTCTCCTCTCTGTCCCACTCACCCTTATCTGGGCCTCCTTCCCCAGTCCCTGCTTCCAGGTGTAAGTCAGCACCATACCCACCAGCACAAAAGGCAGAAGCCCTGAAGCAGGGGATGAGGTGGGCAGCCTCTGATGCCCAGCAAACAATGCAATATTCCTGGATGCAGGTGGCGAGGGGATGAGCACTCCTGTCCACAGCTCAGCTGTCCCTAATCTCTGAGGGCCCTGTGACCAGTAGGAGCTGGAAACAGATGGGGCCTTTGTCTGGCTCACCTCCCTAGCTGTGGGAGGGTCCTGCCTGATAAAAGACCCTGAGGTCATCACCATGGGAGCAGTCACATGTATGTGTGTGTGTGAGAGAGAGAGAGAGAGAGAGAGAGAGAGAGAGAGGGAGAGAGAGAGAGAGACTTTCCTAGAGATGCAGAAAGGAACCCAGGTGGGGGTATCCTGGAAGTTCCCCTAAGTCGACATGTGCCCTGGTGCACCCTCAGACTCAGTTGCTATCTATCTCCAGCTCAGATGGCAGCCAAGCCTGCAGCGGAGCCAGAGTTCTCAAGGATCAGTTCCTGACTTCCAGGATAATGGGAACAGGTTTCCTCTTCTCAGAAGCCCTGAGCTTTGAGATCTCAGGGGAAATGTGACCCACAACACACCTTCCCAACATTCATGAGCTGGCCAGGGTGCCTCCTAGGAGCAATGCTCCTGGGGCCCAGCAGACTGGATAATTGGGCCTAACAGAAACCCAAGGAACTAGAAAACCAGAGCTGGCTCTCTTGTTTACCATCCAGGGCCTGAGGGCTTCAGTTACCCTAACACAGCCCCTGGGACACATGACATAAAAGCCTCTGCCCTTGTGGAGGATGGCTGAGAAGTGAGGGCTCTGAAGGACTTACCACTGACTAAAGAGAAATAATTCCCCAAGTTTGACCAGAGACCTCTACCCCTCCCCAATTCTCCCTACCTTAGACCTACAAGGGCACCCCTAGCCCACCCGAGAACTCTGTCCGAGAACACCAAGGGAGTGCCAAGAGTCTTGTCGAACCCCAGATCATCCTACACCCCTCTCAGTCTATAAGAAGGCATCCAACAAAGCCTGAGAAGTCCAGGAGGGGCATGGACCTAGGACATGGCTAGTGCCCGGGACACTAGATGACCTGAGAGCAGACAATGCCAGGAGACCCCCAAAAAGACAAGAGAGATCAAAAAACTAAGAAAAGACCAGAAGCCAGGGCACACTCTTGATGACACTTCTGTGTGAGTAAGAGTACACATTATTTAGTAAAATAACTAACTGCCCCTCTCCAGAGGAGAAGAAATGGGGAGAAAAGTCTGGCAGAGGTAGAGTAAGTCTACAGCAGCTCAGGCTGAGAAGTTCTGCTGTTACAGCTGGCAGGTGGCTGCCCATGCCAGTCCCTGATGTGGTTTCATAACCTGCCTCAAACCAGAGCCTGCAGCAAGTCTGTTCTGTTAACCACTTTCTGACTGGCAGGCTTTCCCACTCCTGCCCTCCTCTCCCCTCTGGCTCCTCACACAAATTTCACCACCCAGCCGGTCTGTCAGGAGCCCAAGTTAAGACCAGAACGTGCCCCAGGTCAGCTGCCTCGTAAGGCTTCTCATTCTCTCCCTAGGTAAGGGCAGCCCTTAAAGCGGCAAACCTTTTGCCATCTGGATGAAAAGCACAAACATCCAGGCCTGCGAGTTGGACCCTAAAGGGGAGTCCCCGGCACCAAGCTACAAGGCCATTTTTATTCTGCCTATCCCACCCCCACCCCACCCCACCCGGACACTGCCACTCACCTCTGAGCTGGGGCCCACCACCCTGACTCTGGAGGGGGGCGAAAAGGATCGACGCCGAGTCCCCGGGCACCGAAGCGAACACCAACTAACCCCGGGAGAGCGTGAAGACAGGAGGCGGAGTCCTAACTATTGTTGGGGTTTTCTAAGTGGAACCTCAAGCCGAAGGGGGGAGGGGTATCCCCGCCCCGCTCTCCAGTCTGGGACGTCGCACTCCGAGCCGGGCCGGGTCCAGAGCCCCACCCCCACCTCCACGCGTCCACCCAGCCCTGGAGGCGGCCAAAGCTTTCTCCCCCCGAAGCCCAGCCGCTCCCCGCCCCCGCCCACAGCCGGAGCGCTCCTCCCCGACGCCCCATCCCCTCCTCCCGCCCCCACTTCCCTCTTTGGGTACCCCTTCGACTGACGCACCCCCTAGGCTGATGCACCCCCTCCACCTCCGCTCACCCAGCCGAGTCCCCTCCAGTCTGGGGCTCCTCCCCTGCAGCTCCCACCTCCATTCTCACCCCGCCTCTAGCTCCAGGAGCCTCCCGGTTGGGCCTCACAGAGGCCTCTCGTCCGGACTCACCGTGCAGGGCCGGAGGTCTCGGGACCGGGACGGGGGCCCGGGGACGGGGGCCGCTGCTGCTCCAGCAGCTGTAACAACCCCCGGCGGCAGCCACCCCGCTGGCAGCTCTGGCCGAATCGGCGCCCTGCGCCGGCCCCCGCGACGTCACAGCCCAGCGTCGGCCCTCCCCATGCCTCCTGGGAGTTGTAGTTTCTCCTCTGCCCCACTACTGACCCGCCCGGTGCCTCCTGGGAATTGTAGTTTTTTTCCCTGGCTGCAGACGCGGCCTCGCGGGGGGCGGGGGGCGGGGGGCGGGGGGGGGGGCCGCACAATGGGACGTGATGCTGCGATCAGATGGTATTCCTTTGGTACGTAACAATCCCTGCTTTTGCGTCTGTACGTTTTAAGTTGATTTACTGTTGCCGGGTTTTGCCGGTGAGGAAACTGAGTTTTAAGTCACTTGCCATAGGTCCCCATTTAATACCAACCTGGGCCAGAACCCGGAGATTCTGATCCCAGGCCATAGTTTTTCCACAGTACCTTGCTGCCTCCGCCCTAGCCCATGACTGGCTCCTCCAGAAACGGACTAGCTGATTCCTGTGCCCTGCCCGGCTCCCCCTGGAAGCGGGCTCTTGGCGACTTGGGTTAGGGTGGGAGACTGGAGAGCCTAGAATGTGAGCCAGTCTGCTCTTTTACAGTTACACCTGACCCCAGTTGGCCTGGGCCAGGCCACATACTTGGCCTCCCACATTAGACATCAGAAGAGGCCAGGTGTCTGGGGAAGACTCCTTTCCAAATCCCAACCCCAGGTCAGCTGGTGTGGTTTTGGGTGGGAACTTCCACCTCTCGGATCTGCAGTTTTCATGTCTGCAAAGGGGCACAGATTTTACTGCCAGATAAACATAGCTTAGGCACTCCTTAACCAGCGTGTGACCCAGGGCAAATAATTTGTCTTAATCTCCAGTCCCACACCTGTGAAATCCTACCTCAGTTGTGTGAATTCAAAAGAATGTGTGTAAAGCACCTGGTGCTTTGTAGGAAGCTATTGAAGTTTGAACTAAGTGACTCGAGATCTCATGTCACTCTCACGTGCCATGTCACCAAGCAGGCTTTGTCTGAGTAGTTCCCGCTCCACCAACTTGGCTGCTTTCTAAGTCTGGCTGCGTGCATGCAGGAGAGACCACATGATGCCCTGACAGCCAACATGATTGACTGGAAACACCTGAAAGGAACGTGAAAGCACAGAGAGAACACTGGCCCAGGGAATGGAGAGCACTTCCTCAGTCCTCACTCACTGCTCCCCAGGGGGCTGCCAGCAAATAGTTATCACAAAGCTGGAATGGGGTCCCAGAAGTACCTAGTGGGAACAAAGCAGGTGGATATCTGAACTCTGAACCACGCAGAGCTGGACAGGAAGCTTCTTGAATATTTCCAGGGCCAATGGCCCAAGAGCTCTTATCCCAAGAGCTTAACGGTGACCCCAGTCTGAAAAAGTTCTGCCTTGTGTCCTCCAGGTGTTTTCCATGGTTTGTGGAGGCCCATTTCCTATTAGCTGGCCTTAGAAAGACAGAAGAAAACAAGTGAGTGTTGTCCTTTCTGCAGAAACCTCCCCAGCTTTGAGATAAAAGGACGTCTCTATTTTTTCTAAAGTGAGCCTACTTGACTCGTCCTGACTTTTCCTAAGAGTCTTCTTTGTTCCATTAAATTGATGGAACTCTCTGGATATTTGCCAATTTCCTCATGTCTGTGTGAAGTTCGGTGACCCAGACTGGATCTATGTTCCAAATAGGGCTCTGACTAATGCATATTCTAACGGCAAGCTTACTGGGCAGGCCCTGCCCTAGTAATAACTCCTGTTAACACAGTATTTTCACAATGGGTTTGAGCAGAGTTCTGACTCACTCTAGGTTTGTGGTAAGTTGTGGATCACTTTCTACTTAATTTAGCCTCGGTCCCTGTCATCATCTTTGTCCTTTTCTAGCTCTCTACCCTCATAATTACCTTGTCTTCATCAACTAGCCATGAAGAGACCTAACTTCTGTTCAGAGTGAGTGACAGCTCACTGATGTGGTGCTGGGGAATGCACAGCCCCTTGGACAGGTAGTTGGCAATATGTGCCAAGAGGTGGAAAAAGGCTTGAGGCCTCGGAGCCATGACTCTGCTTCTGGTAGCGTATTCTAGGGAAGGGCCTTCCGTGTACTCTGTGTAGGGACATTCCGTTCAGCATTATTTATAATAATGGAAAACCCAAAGTAACCTAAATAACATTCCCCTCCCACCCCCCACCCCCGCCAAAAACAAAACACAAAACAAAAAACAGCATGGTATATAGCTTTGGATGGAGTTGTAGAAAACCATGAGGTAAATGCTCATGTGGCAGTATGGGAAAATGCTTGCCAGGTTATATGGAAAGATCAGGATACAGAATGGCATGAACATTCCCCAGGAATGCAGTCAGCAAACTCAAATAAGGGAGAATAAGACAAAATCTACCTCCCTTAAGTAAACTAAAAGGAAAAAAAGAGAGGGAGAGACTTATAGATTAAAATAAACTCAACCAAAAGTCTCATTTGGATATCCATTCAAGCAAACCAACTTTTAAAAAAAGGATTTTATTAAAGTAGCAGGGAAACTTGAATACTGATAATTCAAGGTGATGATACTAAGGAATTATAAACTTTAAGGTATGGTATGGTGGTGTAACTTTTTTAAATAAAATATTGCCCTTATCTTTTGGAGATATATGTGAAAATATATGTGGATAAAAAGATACAATGACTTGATTTACTTCAAAATAATCTGGCTCAGGATGTGGGAGAATAAAGAAAACAAGAAGGAACGTGAGATGATAATTATTGAAATGGGGAGAATGGAGACATGAGATGTTTTGTTATTTTCTCTCTATTTTGTTATTTTGAAATTGTCTATAATAAAAAGTCGTTATAACCTGCATGTGCATTAATGATTAAGTTAAGAAAAAATAAAGCAGCACTGGTAAGATCTTGGCACCAGATTGTCAGGGTTCAACTCCCGACTCCTGTAGTTACCAGCTGTGTGACCTTAGGGAAATCACTCAACCTCTCTGTGCCTCAGTTACCTCATTTCTAAATGGAGATAGTGATGACCCTAATAACATCCACCTCATGTTGTTGTGAAAATGAAATCGTCAATAACCAGAGACACTTTTTGGGGGGTGGGGGGCGGGAGGGGAAGGATTGGGGTCAGAATGGGGCGTTTGCAATTGTATGGGGGAATATAAAAATAAAATTTAATATTTAAAAAAAAAAAAAAAAAAATGAAATCGTCAATAAACATGAAGCACTTAGAACAATTCCGGCACCTAGTAAGTGTTCTGTATGTGTTGTCTTTCAGTAATCCATCCCACATTTGAATATCTGAGCGTCTACTATACTCAGCTGTGGAAATTCAACAAAATAAAAACAGATCTTATCTTAGAATGGTTTGGAGTGATCTTTTTATCCTCTACTTTCAAACTGTATAATGTGAGATGATTACTTTTAAATTTTATATGAAATGTGCTTTTGAAGCAGTGTGAACAGCCTCTCAGGCTCTCCCTGCCCTCTGGGAGCTCTTTAGCCTGCTGAGGTAGACAAATTCTCCAGCCTTGGGGTGTTTCCATCTGGCTGGGTGGTGTGGCCTCTGCTTGCCATAGATACACCCGCGTGGGCAGAGATAGAAAACATGGGCAGGGTAAGAAACTGGGAGTGCATTCTGGGGTGATGGCAGTGGTGAGAAGTGAGGAGGTGGGATGTCAAGAAACAGAACCTCTTTGCCCCCCATCCCTGGGAGAGAAAGCGGCACCCCTCTACTCACTACCCCTCCAATTCACTCCTACACCCCCTTGTGCTCCCACACCTCCCTCCTTCCTGAAAGAGAGGTGTTGAGGTCACACCCAGAGCAAGTGCAAGGAAGAAATGAGCTGTTTATGTCATTGGCAGTCAAGTTTTTGTTGGGGTGGGGGGCGCCCCAGGCAGATGGCACCTTGGGGGGGGAGGGGAGGAGTGTGATACTAAGAAGAAGGCCTGGGTGGAAGCTACTGGGCCGGTGAGAAACCAGAAGTTAGGAGGACATGCAGGGACTGGCAGCATTGCCGGTGGGCACAGGGCGCTCCTCCCTGAACCAGCCCAGTGTGGCTGCAGAGGCAGAGGCTGAGCCGGCCCAGTCTGAGGACCAGAGCCAAGTCCTGGGAACCAGAACTCCCTCCAGGAACCAAGTGCAGGGCTGTTCTTTAGGAACCCTCCATTTTCATATTCTTTGATATGGACAATGGGAAAAAGTTTAGAAAACTGTAAATATTACAGATCAAAAGAGCAATAGACAGAAAAGCAGTAGCTTTGGGCCTCCCTGGTGGCACAGGGGTTAAGTCTCAGTGCTATCAAGCTATCACCAGCCACTGAGGCATGAGTTGGATCCCCAGCTAGAGAGCTGACCCACATGACATGGCAGACCTCGCCTGTCTCACCCGCTGCTCCCCTCAGCAGTGTATTTCAATAGATCTGCCTGTTCTGCTCCCCACTCTGTCCCTGGTGAATCCTCTCAACCCCCACACCTCTGGCCCACACTCCAGTTCTTGCATGCATAAATAAATAAAATATATCTAAAAAAAAAAAAAAGAAAGCAGTCGCTTTAAGAAAATATTCCCCAATGTAGATGCATCTACTGGAACAAATGTCTCTCTTGGGTGGGGATGTTGCTAATAGGGAAGACTATGCCTGTGTAGGGGTAGGGGATATAAGGAAAATCTCTGTACCTTCCTCTCAATTTTTGCTGTGAATCTACAGCTGCTCTAAAAAATTTAAATCTTCTCTAAAAATCATCTAAAAATAAAAACGTTGTAACGGAGAAAAGAAAATGTTCCCAAGTGCCTTTCCATTTGTTATTATCCCAATGGCTCCACCCACCTTTCTAGAAATTCTGGGTGACCACTGTCCAGATCACCTTCTTCCCTACCTAATGCCAGCTCCTCCTTCCAGAACAATCACACTTCACGTTATAAAGCATTTGTTAAATTCCAGATACTGGGCGAAGAAGAGCTTGACATGTGTCAACTCCTTTTCAAATCTTAAAAAAAAACCAGCCCTGTGGCGTGGTTATTTTTATTATTCCCTACTTTACAACTGAGAAAACTACCATACAGGGTGTTTGCATATTTTGTCCAAGATCACACAGGTTAAGAAGTAGCAGTTCGAGTGTACTTCGG